CTATAAAGAGGTCAAGATTAGCTTGTAAAAAGCTCTTGCACAGTGTAATACCTTTCTCTGATGGATCGAAACAATACTTTACTTTGTCACTTGCACTGTTTTATATTCTTATTGCCACATCCAAATGCAAGATCTGCTGTCATCCCCCAGCTTATCTTCAGCAGAAACGTAATAATTACTTATGAAGAAATCCTTCAAATTGGTTCCTCAAAGCACTAAGTCTTGCTGTCATTGATGATGATAAGAAGGTGAATTGTGTGCCATTGCTGATTTTTTTCCTTCCTGCTGTTACTAATGCAGTGAAATGTTACAATTTTAAGCTGTTAAGATCTAACAGAGGTTACCAGAAAACTGTCAGATATTCAAAATTTATGATGGATGGCTAGAGCAACAGTGTTAAAAAAAACCCCAACTCTTTTTATTAATCTTATTATACTTAAGACCTCACCAGCTGAAGAATGCAACTGAAATTTGTTTTGAAAAGGTGCACTTTTCCAGACTACTTTTATGAGGAACTTGAAGCTCTGAAAGACTTTTTGAATATTTGGAGATTGCAGTTGTTGGAAGATGAAGCAGATTTACTGTGATTGCAAAATCAACCTTGTATTAACAATATGAGCTGCGTCTTTGGCAGTTTATGAATGTTGCAACTTTTTACTGGTTGTTTAAAATTGAACCAGTAACAAGCAGTAAGTTAATGACATTTTTTCTTCCTTGCATATAGGAGACAAAATTCAATATTTTAAATTTTCTCTAACTTGCTGGTAATCTTTACAAGGAGTGTGAAGAAGTTAGTGTTTTCTAAGTCTAACCTCTTCTGTTCAGATCTATTTATGTTGGTTTTTTTTTCTAAAGGTAGTAGGGTGGAGGCTTTGACCCAAAATGTGTTTTATTTGTTCGCTGTGATCTGTTTATAAAGCTGAATGTCTGAATTGTGGTGAAGATACTGAACTTGTGCATACTGAAATACCTTAGAGGTGTGTAGGACCAGGGGAAGAATCATAATTATTGAAATAATCAAAAAGCATTATTCTTGTCAAAACATGTTATTGATAGTAAAATGCACAGAGTAGAGAGTTTGAACTGATTGACAGCTGCAATTACATTCAGTATATTACCTGGTTCTTAGTGCTACATTACAGCAATTTAGCACAGCTTGCACAGATCTCTTAAACTGGAGGCAAGGTTTATTCTATTTTGTGACAATAGTTTTTGAGACACACAGGGCCTCAAGGGGTCTCTGGTCCATTAAATCTGCTTTATTTTATTGCAGTGGAATGAAACAGCCCTAAAACCAGCCTAACTTGAATTGGCCAGAGGAGGATTCCATGTAGGGCAAGGACAGAAGAGCACAGTGGGATCCTCTGGGGCAGAGCTGGTGACTGAGAACCATGCAGAGTTGTAGCGAAGGCATCTTATTATCTTTTTAATGCCCCCAGGTGCTTGCCTGCTAAGTATGTGATCCAGAGGTCCTGACCCTGCTAAGTTTTACCTTCAGCAGTCTGCATGCTTTGGATGCTGAGCAGTGGAACGAGGGCAGACAGGTCTTCTGGGTCTTCTGCTGAGACCTTCAGAAATGAAACACTGATGTACCAGAAAACTGAAGCTGATGCAGGTCATTTGGAGTTTAACTGAGATCTGAACTGGAGCCTTGCAAGGCTAAAGAACTGAGTGACTTTTGGTTTGGTATCATTTGTCCCTCTTTAAAGTGGCTGTGACAAAAGTAAAAGTGTTGTCTTTAACTTTTTAGTGCAAATAATGTTTTGCATACCTAAGAAAGAAATGATTTCTCTAATCTAAGCTATAAGCTAGACCTAAGTCCCATGTAGAGTGTGTTTATGCTTTTCCCACCTGTTTTGCATGGAGCCATTTGTGGAGCTGTGCTGTACTATTGCAAAGCTAGCACCATGTTGGTGAGCCTTCTCAGGAGGGAGAAAGTCTGTAGTGACACGGTCAATAATCTGTTAATTCCTTCAGGCTGTGGAAAAATCTTTGGGGTGGATGAGTCCTAAGTAACACCAAAAAATCATGTAGGAGCTGTAATAATTTAGTATGATCTGAGAGTGAAAAACATGCTTCAGTTTATTACATTTTAGTTTACTTTTTTTTTCTTGGAGGTACTCCAGCTGGAGAAGCATGAAAGAAGTGACTCATTTTAACATCATGGTTGTAATAGATATGAAAAATGAAGATAGAAATATTATCCAGGAAGGATATTTGTTTTATTTCAGTACTTCTTTTGTTTATATGTATATTGTTTTAAAATCCAGCCTTAGAAATGCAACGTTTTGTAAATTGTCTTGTATGAGTTATGTACAAGTGGTTTTGCTTTATTTTTTCTGTTATACAGGGGGTGGTCTTGGTAGTTTTACCATCTTTAACAGTGAGTCATTATTCTTGTGGAGCTTCATTTGATAGTCAAAAGTAGTGCTTCATCATGGCATGCATGAGAATGTGCCAGGAGACTAATGTGACTTCAGGTGTCTACAGAAGCCAGTGTCTCATATTTGCACTGCTGTAATAATGATAACCTACAACCAAAACACTCCGACTGAATAAAACAAACAAAAAACCCCGCACAGATTCGTAGGAAACAAATTTAAAGCACATGTTGCAACTCAAACCCATGTACAACTCTTGCTCATACCATTTGGCAGTTTTCCCACAAGCATTGTCTATTACAGTATGACAGTGCCTACCATTACAAGTTTTATGTTAGAAATAGAACACAATGACATTGTAAATATTAAAGAAAAAAAAACACAAAGGGAAGTACGTGGGTTCTAACTTGCGGTAACATTTTGTTCATGATGAATGTGACATTTTAAATTGAGGGGAATTACTCAGCTTCATAATGCAATATTGTATGCAGGTGTAACTGTTCTTTTGTACGTTAAGCACATGTTATGCTAAAAGATGTTGTTTTAAAATGCAAATGCTGAACAGTTGATGGAACTTCCTAGGAAGTACGAGAATTTGATACTGAGGCCCCTAATCCTGCTCTCCTGTGCCTTTGCATTACGATGTCTAATTGCATTGTTTCACACTATTTTTTCCTTCCTCATTCAGTGAACAGGATGGGCGGTACTCAGGAATTGAGCTGCTACTTGATATTTTAGTCCTTATCATTCAGTTAGCAGCCCAGGCTTTATTTACTGCACACCATTTAAAACTCTCTAAAGAATACATAATTATTCATTCCCTTATGGCCTTTTATCTAAGGTGCCTGGCTGAACTATTTTTGTCCATTTGTCTCATATGTGTTTTCTGGTCAATACCTATAGCTTTATCAAACCACAGAAGTTGAACTGTTCTCATTGTCCTGATTAGAGCATATCTGGGAGAAAACTTCCAAAAGGGGTTCCTCTAGAAAGCACATTTAAAAGTGGGCCCTCCAGCAGCTGGTTTGAGAAGAAGATTTCCTGGGAGAAATGTGGAAAAAACCTGTGTATTTAACAGGCAGAGCATTCAGCAGCACAAAAATTGAACAGTATTAAACAATAAAACCTCTTGCCAATCTGAAGAGATGACAAACTCAGAAAGCCTCCTTTGTGGGCTGTAGCTCAGCTCACTCAGCCTCTTATCAGGCCCTCTGGTGCTGGAAATGCCACAGCCCCGGCTTGGCCCCGTGGGCCACAGGTGCTCTTCTGGGTGCTCAGTCCAGAGCAGGTTTAAACGGTTCCAAGTAGAAAAAAAACTACAGTCCAGGCAACTTGTCTGCCTCAGCTAGCCAAGAACTAACTAAAAGCAAAGGAGAGCTCTGTCCCGCTGTCTGTCCGTGCGCAGACAACACAGTCCAGGAGCAGAGCGTGGAGGAGTGAGTGCAGTGTCTGAAAACAAACAGATGAATGGAGATACAATTCAGCATCGTAAAGTCACCCCAGGACACGCATATGCAACTTAGCTTTCAACAAGGATGATGTCCTTCAAATTCAAATGTATCTTGACTGTGTATCCTCTAGGTTAGACAAGTCCTTTTATTTGAATGCAGTTGATTCTCTCTGCTGGGCATGATTGGAAAGATAATGCTTAACTAATGTAGCATTCAGGTTAAAAAAAGGGTAATTGAACAATGGAACAGATTGCCTGGAGAGGTTGTGGGTGTCCATCTTTGCAAAATGTTCAAAATGATGTTCAAAATCCAACTGGGTGTAGTTGTGAGTAATTTGTTGCAATCGCCTCTGCTGTGAGTAGGTTGAACCAGAGGATGTCCAGAGATGCCTTCCAGCCTCAGCTATTCTGTGATTTATGCAATAGATGATAATATATACTTGTAGTATATATATTTTGCTTGTTTCTGATAGGCAAAACTGTATGGATCTTGTGGCTTTCTTCTACACTAAAATAACAGAAAAATGTTTGTTTTGCAGTTTCTGTTTGACTAGCAGGCTATCTTGTCAATCCAATAAGAAGTTGTTTAACTGTTAAACTGTAGTCTGACTGACTATTTAACTGTTCTCAGCAAAAGCTGTAGAAAAGTTTGTTGTTATGCTAGTACTTTGCAGAAGATTGTAATAAATTGTAATTATTTATTGTGGTCCAAACTATTATGTACTTAATCTTTCTTGTGTTTAAGAATATAGTATAGAAAGCTTGGTGGTAATGGTCACCTGTTCAGCTTGTGATCCTGTTATTAACAACTTTTGAGTATTGGAAAGAACTTAGTGTATCTTTATCTTTGGTTGTATTTGACTCTTGCAAATTCTAATAATATTGCCAGTGCATCATAGCTGACTGTAAGGCTTGTCCATAAGATCTTTCTATTGCTTGAAATACTTTAATATTGATGCTACAAAGAGGTACAGGCTTTTCCAAATGCTAATGTTAATATTTCAAATAAGAAAGGAAAGTGGTACATGTAACATCTTTCAGTGTCCCAATACACCACTTTTGTCTCTCTGCTACTGATGGGATGAGAGGATTGTGGTACTTGTCTCAAAAAGACTACCTTAAATGAAAATATTTTATTGTTAATACACTGTTACTTTTTTCTGTTGCAGAAAGAGTTGAGCCTTCCAAGAAGAGGAAGTTTGTAAGTATATGACGTTTTCTGCTGTTGTGCTTAGATTGTAGTATGTATTTTTGACAGTTTTAGAGTAGACTAGTTTTCTTTTCAGGGCAGTTAAAATGGCGGTTAAATGTGGCAGTTATTCTGCCTGAGAATGCATACAAAGAAATGAAAATTGTAAATGAAAACTTGTGGGTTATGCAGTCACCGTTTTTATGCTGATCTTTTAGAGAAGCTATTGGAATTTTAGAGAAGCTATATCTGGGATTTCCAAAGGGATGCAAAGTTTTTAAGTTCAGGGTATTTTTTTCTATTAAAGATTTTTCTTGTTAAAAATCAAGGAAGAAACGTTTTCTTTGTGAATGATATAAAAGAAACTTGTCATGCTTATGGAACTCCATAAACAGTCCTGGATGAGAAGGTAGGAAAAAAGAATAGATGGGTTTACTAAATATATAGGATTGTTAAGCTACTATTCTGATTATGGAAAGACCATATATTCTTGTATAAATTGTTACTTATAATAATATGTACTCAGATGCTGAGTTCATTTAGATTTCTATACCTTGGCTTTGATTCTCCAGTGGTTTTGAGCTGTTTGTCTTTAAAACTTGTATTTTTTTATTTGCATCTGTTTAATTTCTTGTTCTGTATTAGTAACTTGTTGAGAAAGTATTGGGATAAGAACATCACAAAATGTCTTAAGAAGCGTACTCTGTTCACTTACTGCTTTCTTTCAAAAATAATACTAAAAGATGATCTGTAGATTATTAGTGACAATTTTGAGTAAAACCCTGTGCCCTTGCACAAGAGGCCGGTTACTTGGTTTCAGCTTGATAGTGCTGTGTAGGTTTTAGTGATGGTAGATGAGATATGTGAATAACTGAAACTGTAACTGCTGGGAAAGTGCTGTGAAGTGCTTTGTTGTTCTGACTCAAAGTGCATACCAGAAGCCTGTACTTGATAGGATATCTGCTGTGTTGGAAAACACTCTTGTTTCAGGTTTGGATGCATGATAATTCTTATGGTATACAGTAAACAAACCCATTATGTAAGAAAAATCAAGAAAATAGAAAACTTGACAAGTATTTAATTATTTAAGTATTTCAGTGACAGAGAGAAAAACAGTTAAAGAAAATGATTTTTGGTTCATTCTTTTGGTGTCCTTCGTGCTTTATATTTAACTCAGTTAAAGTTAATGGCTAAACTGCTGTTCACTTCAGCTAGAGCAAAAAGTGGCTCTTGGAACTTGACCTTGCTTATTCTTGCTAGGATGTTTGACATTAAATGTTATTAATTACTTTACTCCAAATCTGAAAAATGACTGCATCTCAATCACCTCAGTTGCATTCACATTACATACTGGTTTAGCTGATCACTGAGATACTAGTGTGCTTTTTGTGATGTTGCTGAGGCTTTATTAAACTGTAGTAGAGAACAGCATCTTGTCAGCATAATCATATCCAGTTATTGAAGTGCTTATGTTTCTGCAAATGGTTGTAGTGGGTTGACCCTGGCTGGGTGCCTGGCACGCACCAGAGCTTCTCTGTCACTCCCCTCTGCAGCTAGACTGAAGCCAGAAAATGCAGTGAAGGGTTCATGTGTAAAATAAGATAAGGACTGGGAGAGATCACTCACTAAATACTGTCACAGGCCAAACAGACTTGAATTTGCTATAATGATTGAATTTATTACTAAAAGAACCAGGATAATGAGAAATAAAATAAATGCTAAGATACCTTCTCACACCTTTCCATCCTTCTCAGGCTCTGCCTTTCCCCTCTCAGTGGCACAGAGAGACAGTGAATGGAGGTTATGGACAGTTCATCACATTGTTTCTTCTGCTGCTCAGGGAGAGGAGTTCTTCCTCTGCTCTAGTCTGGGGTCTCCTCCATGTTCTCCATGAACTTCTTCAGTTTGAGTCCATCCCATAAGCAACAATTCTGCATGAAGTGCTCCAGTGTGGGCCTCTTTCCACAAGGTGCCGTCCTTCAGGCACAGCCTGCTCCAGTGTGTGTCCCCCACAGGGTCACGACTCCTACCAGGACCTGCTCCAGCATGGGCTCCTCTCTCCATGGGTCTGGAGATCCCTGTCAGGACCCTGCTCCAGCCCAGGCCTCCCACAGGGTCACAGCCTTGTCTCAGACATCCACCTGCTCTGGCCTGGGTCCCCTCCAGGGGCTGCACATGGATCTCTGCATCCCCTGGGGCCTCCATGGCTGCAGGGCCGCAGCTGCCTCACCACGGTCCCACCACGGCTGCAGGGGAACCTCAGCTCTGGTGCCTGGAGCACCTCCTGCCCCTCCTTCACCAGCCTTGGTGTCTGCAGGGCTGTGCTCTCACATATCTTTATTCTAAACAGGATGACCCCAACGTCTGGGAATGATTGGCATCCTACTACATTGATTCAGAAGGCTGAAAAATTGCTTTATTAAACTATATTATATTACACTATACTATACTGTACTGTACTGTACTGTATTGTACTATACTATACTATACAAAAGAGATACTATACTATACAAAAGATACCTACTAAAGAAAAACTTGTGACTGTCTCCAGAGAGTCAGGACACAGCTTCAAGTGATTGGTTAACTAACATAAACAACCATCACCAGAATCCAATTACCAAATCACTTCAGGTAAGCAGTCTTCCTAACACATTCCACATGCGCAAAAACAACTGGAGCAAAGAATAGTGATAAGAATTGTTTTCTCTTTCTCTGAGGTTCCTCACTGCGATTTGCAGGAAATATCCTTGGGAAGTTGTTCCTGCCTGCTTTCTGTGAAGAGAGCTGCAACTACATTTTGTTGCTCTGCTCTTCTCTGCCTACACTTATACCTGTGCAATGACTTTTTTTTTTCCTTCTTAAATCTGTTACCACAGAACTGGTAACATAATTTCATTGGCCCAGTCTTGGTGAGAAGCAGGACTGTCTTGGAGTTGCCCGGCATTGGATCTGCCAGACACAGAGAAAGCTTCTAGCAGCTTCTCCCAGTAGCCACCTTCTAGCTCCCCTACTACTAAAACCTGGCCATGGTAATCCCAAAGTAATTTTAAAATTACTTTTAATAATTAAAAGGGCTCACACTGCTGAGGTTAGCAATAGCTGTGGGGTTATGTGCATGGGCCATGTTGACTGCTGTATTTGTATATTATATAAATGGTGACATGAAGATTGAATTTCAAGATGTGAAAAGTCCTGTGTGTTCCTTTGAGTAGACATCTAGAAGTCCTGAACAGTTCCAGGCAGGGACATCTCACACTGTCTTTTGGTGCTTCAGGCCCAGTGTCATGCCAAGGACGCAGCTTTAAACAGGAGAGGGAGAGCTATTTCAGGGGTGAGCAATCTTAGCATAGTTGGCTAAACTGAGATAAAGAGTTGTGGTTGGCTGAGAAGTGAGCTTCTCCATGCTTGGAGCACCCCCTGGCTGTGTTGGCTCAACTCTTTCTCTGGACACAGGCAGAATTGATCCGGGTTGCAACTTGCTTCATGCAGTTTCTTTAGCATGTCAAATTGCGCAACTGCACAAATGCTTCTTTCTGGCAGCAGGGTGTGGTGGCTTGGAGGCAGGATCAATGGATGAGAGCTTTCTCTCAGGCTGACTACAGCAGCAAAAAGACTTTATATAAGCTTAGCCTGATTGTAAACCTGCATGGCTGTTAGTATCCCACTTTGCAAGTCTATTGGAAAACTGAATAGGAGTATATTTTTGCACACTGCTACAATAGGGATGGGTTATTTATGTCTTGATGGAATATTTTTATTGATTTATTTATTTTCACCTAACACTTCCAACCCTAACCCTAGCTCAGTTGGTTAGATCATGGTGCTAATAACACCAAGGTTGTGGGTTTGATCCCTTTATGGGCCATTTGCTTAAGAGTTGACATGATGATCCTTGTGGGTTTCTTCTAGCTCAGACTATTCTGTGATTCTGAAATATCAAGGGAGATGCTTATGCTTAATGTTAAGCCAGACTCAGAAATACAGATTTAATTTGATCAGAATTAAGTGTTTCTGTTTGTGAAGCACGCAGATCCTCTTATGAACCAGGAAGTGCCTGATGGCATTTACACATCCCTATCCAAGGATGTACACATGTACACGCACAAAAATAGCTGAGCATAAATTTACCAGTAAAAAGGTACTGTAAAGCTTTAAAATACCCTCAACATAGTATACTTATCTTTTCACTGAAAAGGAACATGATGAATTACATTAAAACAGATCATTCCTTTTTCTAACACGTGATGTGATAAATCATAAAAGAGGATGTAAGTGGATAAAATCCATAGATTGTGTGTATTAGGGTGGGGTCTAGGGGTGACTTACTGTGAGTGCAATAATTTTGTAATTAATGGTTATCTGGCATTGGCAAAAGTGATGGATGTATATAAGCATTTTTAAATCAGCATTGGCTGTATCTTCTTGTTCATTTTATGAACAGAAGTTGCATTCTCAGCGAGTAGAATTATTTGTCTTTGATTTTGTTTCAGTAAAGTTTCAAAACTGCATCACATACACAAAAAGAACAAATAACCATATAACCACCTATTTTTTTCTGCTGCCTGAGAAAGTTCTTACGCATCGAGAAAACTGGCAGAAGAACATCATGTAGGTAATCACTGCTAGCCAGCACAGCTTGAATTTCTAATACTAAACCTTGAAAATCTGACATATTGAGGCAGTTTCTTGTTCACTGTTTTTTTGCCCAGTGTCATTAATTTCAGGAAGTTCAGTTTTCTTCAGTTAAGGAATGTCTGAAATTTGTTAAGAAAAAATGTGAATCATAAAAGGAGTTGCAATGTCCTGATGAATTGCATGATCTAGGCTGCAATATGCTGTATTGATGAATTGATTTTAATTTGGCAATGATGCTACAAAGTTTTGAATAATTTCTTAATCTAGGGAGGGAGCTTCCTGAGGCTGTGCAATTCCTAGTGTGCACACATTTACTTAGGATCTGTAGGACTGGAGTCTTGGTGGGGCTCTGGGTGGAGTACATGATGACTTGATGA